TTTTGTTTTTTGTTTCCCCTTTTTTTTTTTTCATGTATTTAGCCACATGAATAATCATGATATGGTAATTTTGAAAACTGGGCTAAAATTTAAATAACAAACTAGCCTATAAATATTTTACAACTGATTATAGCTTAATCAATGTTAACGTAGATATGATGCGATCAGTAGTATTTATCATCTAATAAATATGTTAGTTCTGAAATGTGAAGAGAAGTGTTTTCATGTTTACAATATATACTTTTTTTTTCCTTGATGTTTGTAAAGTAAAAGGACACAAGTGCAACTAATGTGGCTTGATAAAGCTCCTGGAGAGCGAAACGTTGCCACTATAAATGTCACATTAGTTGCACTTGTGTCCTTTTACTTTACATATTGTCGGTAATTCTACCAACTTTATCCTTGATGTTTGGCAGAGCACACTTAAATGAGGGTATCTTCGTGCTTAAAAAGTGCTCTTAATCCAAGGAATTAGTTACCTTTCGCTTCATAGAATCAGATTTGTTCACCTTACATCCGTGAGCTTTCGTATGGGCTCCCCAATGGGTTTAGCTCTTGCCTGATAAATATGATAATAAAAATAGTTGGCAAAACAACCCATGCTAATCAGAACTTATATCGTTTTTGAGACTAAATTTCACGACTTATATTCGTGACTGTATATATATTTTCATGGTCCAGCTGTGCCTTTCTCTTTAAGTGCCCATGTCACAGCCGCCATTAATACCTTCTGCCTTGCCTCAGAGAATTTCCCCTCCTTTATATTGCTGTCTTGCAACATTGCATAGCTTCTGACAACGCACGCGAGTGCAAAAGATCTAGAGTTACAGGTTTCCAACCCCATGTGGCTTGTTCTGCATTGTTAAGATCTCTTATTTCTGACTGTATTGTACACAGCTTCATGTTGAGTGTTTCTCCTCAGCATTCCAGGCCCAACTAGCGAACTTTTTCTGTAAAGTAAGGTTCCTATTACCAAACAAGCCAAAAGTTTATTTATATTTGCAATAGATCCACAAAAATCAGTGTGAACATTACGAAGTTAATATATTCCGTTATGATAATATTATCTCAGGAAATATATTTCACTGAGATCTTATCTCTGCTTAGGCTTTTCTTAGGATACGTACTAAAAAGCTGCATTATATTCCGTACCATCGTGCAAAGCTAGGTCAGGTTGCTAAGTTAGTTTTGTACCAAAAAGCATATTTTTTTTCGTGAAGACATCTTTCTAGCCATAGGAAAGCATATTCTGAAGTATATTATTTTTAAGGTAAGTTTGCTTGTGTAACTGATTTGTCTTAAAAGTACGACATATCAATCTTAAATATTACTTGATTGTTACTCAGATGCGCTAAGAAGTCTGTTTACTTTCCACCTATATAAAATACCAGAACGTTCTCTTCATGTCATGTAGGCATACCTGTCAGCGTCACAGGCATCAGCCGTCAGCATCAAAGACGCCAGCATCATCTGTCAGCTTTTATAGCGTCAGTATGGCAAGGCGTATTCACATTTTTTTTATATTAGTGTTTTGGTGTTTCATGTTTCTCTTCGTTCAGTGTTCTTGTCGTGTTTCCCACTGACGTATGTACAACTGCATTTATTTTACACATAGGTGTAAAGGCGAGACCTCAGTCGTATTATAACTGACACCAACACCACCGCCAGTTTCTGGGATTATCAGTAACGACCATCACCATCACTACCGTCTGACACCATAGCTGCCTACAAGAACCAACACCCTTCCACTAACATTACGATCACTGCCCACCAACATCACCACTTACTAACATAATAACAGTCGTTACTACCCACCATCACCATACACTAACATCCCCACTATCTAATAACTCTAACGCCCAATAACACCATAACGAACCTCTGACGCCATCACCACCCACCTGATAACATTACAATCATTACCCACTAAGAAAACGATTACCACCCATTATCATCACACAATAAAATCACCAACAACTAACACCACTTAATACAATGATGAAATAAGACATTTATTTGGAAAATTAATGGTTATTTAAAAAATACACGGCTATTATATGACAGATAATTGAATTAATAAGGGATAAGACTACCCTTTGGTTTTATAAGCAAAAGGTAGGCTGTATATGGAGTCGATTCTATGCTTTGGCATACAGTCGACCAAGGCTGAATACATTTTGGCAAGCTTTTCGGTACCATGTCGAAATAACAACAGCAATTAGCTTCTCCAGTTGAACAGTGCTGTTTCGCTTTTGGTTATTGCCAGAAGATTCTTAAATGGGTTAAGGTCAGGGGAGTTTACAGGCCAATTTAAAACCTTATACTACTATTCTCGAAAAAATGTCGGCATTTTTCTGGAAGTGTGGCATGGTGGAAGATCCTGCTGGAAAATGCCTTCTCCGTCAAGAAAGTCTTTATCCACAATGGGAAGCAAATGAGTTGGCTGGATTGCCTTTTATTTGTCACCGTTCATTGTTTCCTTAACAATAAGCTGTCCTGGGTATTTAGTAGTAAAACTACTCCAAAACAACGTCTTAGGTGGATTTTTTTGGCATTTGTTGAATGTGTCCATCCCGAAGAGGTTTGCCTTTGCTCCATCTCACTACCACTGATCTGTACCCATGTACTTCAGAATGAGCCTAATCTGAAAATATAACCTTTCTCCAATCATCTGTCACCCATCACTTATGATCAAGTGCCCACCGCAGCCATGTTTTCTTCATAGAAGCAGTCAATAATTGTTTCTTTACCGGCTTTCTGGCAGTTTTGGCAACTTCAAGGAGCCTTCGCCAAACAGTAGATCTTTGCTGATTTTCTTGGGATTCTTCACACTATTTCTTATGATAACCTTGTTGTGAGGCGTTGTCTTGCGGTTTCTTCCACATCTTCCTTGACGCAGCGCTCTACAACCCCCAGTGTCGTCAGCTCTTTTCAGAATTCGACTAACAGTTGACTTTGCTAGGCTCAAATCACCCGCAATCTGTCTGATACTTAAATCACCATGTTTTCTGAGAAATAAATTACCTGCACGCTTCCTAGATGTACCATCAATCATGAATATCAGCAGTAATCATGAATTAAAGAGAATGATTTGGCGAAACCACATCCATTCAACGAGCACGCTTGCAGAAATACCCTGACGAGAGTAGCAGGGGAACATCACAGCTGGATGGTTGCCAGAAGTCGGTAGCGAACTCTTCTGAAAAGAAAAGAACCCGAACTACATTAATTACGCCGGAGAGCAAAACATATTATGAGATAATCTCATAATTTTCTCTTGCCCCAATTAATTTGCATACTACTGTAACACCGTTATCACCACTCACCAATTCTATCACTCTGCCCCCTATCACTGCCCGCTATCACCATCCCTCTGCTTCCCCATAGCACCACTGTCACCACCCACCAATACCACCATTCTGCCACACATCCATTAACACCACCACTCTTCCACACACACAATAACACCACAACTCGTCCACGCACACAATAGCACCACCACACTGCCACTCACTAGCATCACCATCACCCACTAACGCCACCATTACCACCATTCACTAACATCACACTACTCACTAACACCACCATCACCACCACCCACTAACGCCATCACCACCACCCGTTTACACCTCCAATCTGTCACCCACCAGGTAAACACTGCCTTCCCCCTAGTGGATGGACATCAGCTCAACTTCACGGTAGCTGAGACATACGGACAGGAGGAGATGAGCATCCTTCAGACAGCCCAGCTCTGGATCTCCAACATCTCCGCCTACATCGGTCCCCAGGAGACGTGTGTGCATGAGGCCAGGATGGCGGCAGCCTTCAACCTGCCAATGATCTCCTATGTAAGTAATGTTTTTTGAACTGTTTATTTCAGTGTTTGTTTTTATTATCTTTTATTCACTTTGTGATATTTTAGTATATTTTTTTTTTGGGTTATTGCCTTGCGAGGTAGTGTTGCTGTGATTTCTTTTTTCCTTGTTTCAGCTTCATTAAAGTTTTTAGCAATATTTAATCGTGTTGTGGGCGATTTTAATTGCCTGTTTTATACGAGTCATTTTACGAGGTATCACTGAACCTCTATCCATGAGCCATCGCAGTGATTTCAACACATTAGACATGGTCTACAACACGAGGTTTCGTGGCTCAACTGGTAGGGGCCTCAGCTCAAACAACAGAGAGTGGAAACGTTGGCAGAGTTTCCTGCTGCTTCTCTTTACCTTCTAGTAAGTAGATACCCTAGTGGAAACAAGCCAAGCAAGCTAATAACATGATCAAATTAGGTTATCCTGCTTTACTAACCCACAGTGTTAATAATCCAGACAAAATAAAAAAAAGGCACAATACAGTGACTGGAACAATACACAAATAACCCGCACATAGAAGAAAGGAGCTTACGACGACGTTTCGGTCCGACTGGGACCATTTACAAAGTCACACTAAGGATAAGGAGAGCAAGAAGGGTATATATAGGCAGGAGGTGGTGGTAGTAGTAGTAATGGTAGTAGTGGAGGGAAGGAAGTAGTAGTGGGGAGGTAGTAATAGTAGGAGGGGCCAGTCAAATACTGAGAAAGAGCACTGCAGGGGAGCTAGGTGCCTACAGAGGGTAAGAGCAAGAACACAGAGGGGGGAAACAAATAAAGAAGGAACAAATACACAGGACAGAAGAAAGACAACCCAAAGGAGAAAAAGGAAAGAGGAAAGGGGAAGAGGGAGAAGAAGAAAAAAGGAGGAATAAGGTTAAGTCACGGGTATTCTGAAGTTTGGAGCATTTTACAATGTAGTGGGAGAGGAAGGCATCTACAGAGACGAAGCCAGGACTAAGATTCATACAAGGAAAGTTGTGTATTAGGGAGGATTCAACCAGACGGCGACTGTTGAAGTTGGAAGTAGGGAAGACAGTTTTAGCAGAAGACCAGTCAATAGGATGGCTGTGATCTCTGACGTGACAGAAAAGAGCATTGTTAGTGTTGGCAAGCCTAACTATTTTTGTGCTCCCTAAGTCTGTCAGAAAGAGATCGACCAGTTTTTCCAAAGTATTGAAGAGGACAGGAGGAACAAGAAATAGAGTAGACACCAGGAACATCTGTAGAGGGAGGAGAGGTATGAACGAGAGTAGTGCAAAGTGTGTTAGTCTGGCAGAAAGTAAGTTTGATGTCTAAGGAACGGAGAGAGTTGTTGAGATTAGAAAGACCAGAAATGTAGGGAGGCAGAGAACGGAAGAGTTCCCAGGAGTAGAGAGTTTGGGAGAGAAGAAACTACGTTTAGCACGTGAGAAGGCAGAGTCAATGACTCTTCATTGAACTCTGCCTTCTCACGTGCTTAGGTACTTAGGTGCTTGGGACTTAGGTACAAATTATTATTTTTATAGACCTGCAGTATCCACAGTGATGCATATCATAAGCTTATCTTCCAACAAGAAAATTTATACAGTTTTCATTCCCATAAGCGAAGGCTTTTAGAAATTACTTAGCTAAACTTACAATGAAGAGGCACAAACAATAAGAAACTTATGTCATCCAGTGGGCTTTAATGTAGCCAACAAACAACATAATAATTTCAACGTTGAGAAAAGTGTGCGGTTTCTCTCTCGCAAGCAAAATCGAAGAAACGTCAAAATATTGAAATAAACGTGTTGATGAACAAAACAGAGATGTTAGAACAGGCACCGTGAGCAGTGGTGTGTTGTATCATACATGCGATTGCAACCATAATATGGATTCCGATTATATAATTATTAGTACTAATAATTACAAAGGCAAGAAAAATAAAGAACTGAACATTATCGAATCAGCTTCGAACTTTAACACAATTCACATCAGCGTTAGTGGCCATTTCTTTAAAATACTTCGTCATTATGTAGCAGAAGACAGCACAAGAAAAGCTAATTCACACCTTGCTTACTCTAGCTTACTCTAGCTGAAGAAACCAAGTGATATGTCAAAACGATGCTGGTTATCAGTTATTTGTTACTAGAGATTCTCAACAAATATAGCCGTGGTCCCGTGCAGCCGTGTTCTCGTGTCACCAACGATTCCAGCAGAAAACAGTTCACCAGTCGCAAAAGTCGGAGCAAACCAGACCGGCGTCATAATCTTTATGTAATTCGAGGGGTAATTGGTTCCAGTTACCCCCTTGAATTACATCTAATCCCACTAGTCACTACTAGTAAGATCAGATGTTATGTTGCTGGTACTCACTCGGGTCACAGGCTCGAGACCTCGCCGTTTCACTTCGTCACCGTGTTACATTAACAATACTTTGAAAACTCAGTTGGTACTGGCATTGCATGCAGTGCATATAAACTGCGTTTGTTGTAGAAAATGAACCAGAATTGGAAGAGAGAAAATTCTATACTCAACAGTCGGGACTTCTCTTATCCAAATGAGAATACGTCTCACACTGATGGTACAACTGCCGACATTTTTACTATTAAACCAACGCTCGCTCTTGCAAAAAAGAAAGAAAGAAAAAAAGCATTAATTCATTGCTGCGATAACTATCAAGTGACAGTTTTAACTTAATGACATTATCAGATTTCATTATTAATAAATACTAATTAAATTTAAGATGGATTCAAGAGGACTAAGCTACATTATTTGCTTTTCATTTTGCACTGTTAGGTTGTTAGGTTACTTTCACCGTAATTTTAAAACAACGTGCCGTGGTAATTAATTCACACACACACAAACACACACACGCGCACGCGCACACACACACACGCGCACGCACACGCACACCACACGCACACGCGCACACACACACACACACACACACACACACACACAACACACACACACCACACACACACACACACACACCACACATACAACGACACCTGCAACCAGAATTTAGGTGGGCTGAAACACTGGGGTTGGACTAAAAATATTCAATTATTCATAAAAGAGATTTTCATAAGCAGCTGTATCTCTTAAACAGGGGCATGCCAGATCTACAGACCGTGTCATTGATTATATATGGCAAAACGGGACGATATCAGGAAATTGGTTGGAACAACCTAGAAAGCATGGCCCACATAGACCGGGGTGGGAAAGTGAAAACCTCACTGGACCTTCAACTACCATGTGAAATGAAGAAAGGAGAAGTTGTTGGAGTGGTTTTTTCTTCTGAAGAAGGTTTGACATGTTTCACTAAAGATTAAGATGAGACATGTAGGGGTACAAGGCATAACATTTAGGCTTACTTTCAGTAACACTGCACATGGTATGTAGTAGTGTCATTACCTATAAGGTGTTCCCCAGTATTGGTCAGGCTGTTTGTTTTTGAACCCCCAGGGGAAGGAATAAAGAATCAGTTTTAGGTGATAATTTGAAAGAATTACACAAGGGAAAGGGGCGACAAGGTTGAAGCAGTAATAAACCTGGTGCTTGGGAGGAGGCTTTAAACACCTGTAACCGATTTTAATTTTCTGTAGTGCGGTCTGAGACTAGGTTTTGTTAGTTCGGGTCTGAGACTAGGTTTTTGTTAGTTCTGGGTCTGAGACTAGTTTTTGTTAGTGCTGGGTCTGAGCAATTTTTTGTGAGGGGTTGGGCTAGGTTTTGTTAATTGTGGCCCTGATGTTTTTTTTAAAAAAGCCGTTTTTTAAAAAAAAGGGGGGGAGGCTTTTTTTCTTTGCGGGGCCAGGCGGGTTTTCTTTTGCCCCAAATTTTTTCTTTTTTTTTTTTTATATAAATTTGATCAACCAAAAAAACCCCCAACAAAAACCCCCAAAAAAACCCCCCCGAAAAAACTCAACAAAAAAAACCCCCCAAAACACACAACACAAAACACACAACCCACCCAACACACACACCCCACCCACCCCACACACACACCCACACCCAAAACACACACCACCACACAACACACACACACACAACCTCACACCCCCACACACACACACACCCCACACCCCACACACACACCACACACCACACCCCAACCACAAAGGTGGTTATCAACACACAATGGGGCAAAAAAAAAAAAAAAAAAAAAAAAAAAAAAAAAAAAAAAAAAAAAAAAAAAAAAAAAAAAAAAAAAAAAAAAAAAAAAAAAAAAAAAAAAAAAAAAAAAAAAAAAAAAAAAAAAAAAAAAAAAAAAAAAAAAAAAAAAAAAAAAAAAAAAAAAAAAAAAAAAAAAAAAAAAAAAAAAAAAAAAAAAAAAAAAAAAAAAAAAAAAAAAAAAAAAAAAAAAAAAAAAAAAAAAAAAAAAAAAAAAAAAAAAAAAAAAAAAAAAAATTTTTTTTTTTTTTTTTTTTTTTTTTTTTTTTTTTTTTTTTTTTTTTTTTTTTTTTTTTTTTTTTTTTTTTTTTTTTTTTTTTTTTTTTTTTTTTTTTTTTTTTTTTTTTTTTTTTTTTTTTTTTTTTTTTTTTTTTTTTTTTTTTTTTTTTTTTTTTTTGTTAACACAAAAAAAATACAAAATTACAAACAAAAAAAATTTTCCCCAAAAAACACAAAAAAACCCCCCAAAATTTAAACACAAAACCAAATTTAAAATTTTTTTCCACCACAAACAAAAACTTTTAAAAAGGGGAAACCTAAAACCCCCCTTTAAAAAAAATACTTGTCAGGAAGACAGCAGCGAGTCATGGTAGGGTGGCGAGTGTCGGGAGTGGGCACCTGTGACCAGCGGGTTCCCACAGGGGTCAGTCCTAGGACCAGTGCTGTTTCTGATATTTGTGAATCACATGGCGGAAGGAATAGACTCCGAAGTGTCCCTGTTTGCAGGTGACGTGAAGTTGATGAGAAGAATTCATCCGATCGAAGACCAGGCAGAACTACAAAGGGATCTGGACAGGTTGCAGACCTGGTCCAGCAATTGGCTCCTGGAGTTCAACCCCACCAAG